CGGAAGGAAGATCAAAATGCTGGGCAGTTTCGGGAAGCTTGGTAGTAACGAAATCAGGGAAAGCCTTTTCCGGGAAGGGCCAAAGTTCCCCTCGAAATATGAGATAGTTGCAAATGCATTCTGTGAAATCACCGTGCCATAGTTTTATTGCATCGAAAAGTTTCCGGCACTAGGAACGTCGATTTCTGACAACTGCGGGCACCCGCTGCTGAGTGTGTTCAGGTCACCGGTTGTGAAAGAACAACCAAATGAAATTGGTAAAGAGACAAACCTCAGCAGAACTCTCTCCGTGGGATACAGTGTGCTGAGGGTAGGCATACGTTTCAGCCGTCGTTGTCACAACGTTGCCGGCACTATCAGTAGTCGTTGTGGTCTTGATTTCCTTTGTTGTCACATCGGTAATTACCTAAACACAAGAAAAATCAGTTTCCTATCCGGGCAGCACTAAGAAGGGACACCTGCTAGGTGTGAAACCTCATTGTTTGAGCTATCGAACCTTTCGTTCAACCTCCTCCTTGATGGTGTATTCACTAGAAGCACTGGACATGCTATCGACCGACTCATTGAGACGGCCATTACTTCCAACCAGATGAGCACGAGGAATGCGAACGGCTCCTAAAAATGCACTCTGAGCAGAGCAGTAATGACACGATTTCATGGCTTCAAAGAAATCGAAAGTAAGAAAGCGGTTTAGTATACTATGTAAAAGGATCAACGATCGTGATCAACGATCGGAGCCTTAGTCTACGTTTATGGCCCCGAAACCGAAAATGGGGAACACAGTAACAGATGTCATGGTGTGAAATTGTAAACTGGGGTTTCTTAGGTTTTACAGCCCCATATGGTCCTCTGAGGATTTCTTAGTCCTCGTGATCCTACACAAGGCCAGCTTCAACCTCCTTGCCGAAAACTGCCGGGGATTATTACAGTCTACAGTTTCCACTTCAGAAGAGGGGATAAAGCAGTGGCAACTCTGGCACTTGAACGACACCGCCCACCTGCTCAGAAAGGCTACTGTCTCTGGAATGCTTCGATAGGCCACATGTAAGCGCTCTGATCACAAAATTTTCCTTCAGAGAAAGAAAAAACATACCTTCGGTGAGGTACTGCTCCAATCTCGCAACGTCCATTGCCTTCGCGCCGGCGTCTGCTGCAACAGCACCAGCCTGAAAGTTAAGCTATGGATAAACAGTTTTTTTTGGATTGCTTTCAAGTATGCTGGAATGCTGTTTGATGGCTAAGCCACCAGGTCGGACCTTCAGTTTCGCTCGAGGAATTCCAATATCTGGGTAGTAGTCGTGACCAGCGGCACTGAGCGCTGAGAATTCGGCTCCGCTTTCAGAAGACGATGAACCTTCAAGTGTAGACCATGGCCACGCCCCACCACGTCTGAAATGTAAACGGATATAGAAGGAGGACAACTAAGAATGTCTGAAGGCACATACCGATATACAAATGGTGCTCCACCTGCCATACCCCTGGCTCCGAAGCAGTGACACTTGGTGCAGAAGTACAGAAGACAACAAAGGGTGAGTAGGAGGAATAGTAGGGCAAGCAGAATCAGCAGTACGAGTGATGCATTGGAGGGAGCGACCTGAAAAGAAAAAGGCATATCGTATGGCTGTTGAAAAAGACCTCGAAAGATGTACTTGGCAGAATTCGCCACTCCAGCCTTCACTGCAGACACATGTGATGTTGTTTGTTTGAGCATTGTGGACGCAGTCGCCATGGGAATTGCACAAGTCGCAGAGCAGTGCTCCGCAGATCCGACCGGGCTCTTCTGGGCTTCCATCGATGTAACCCTCAGGGCATCTGCAGGTGTATCCGATGGGTCGGTCAATGCATTCAGCCACTCCTGGAACGAATTCACTGTATGCGGGGTAGTTTTCGAGACTAGATGACACAGTGCCTAAGTTTGCTTTAAACTCCCCAGATCAGAAGATTTGGACTAAAGGACAGACGGCATATGTGAGGATTTCCCTTGAAAATTGGAGTGATCACGATATGGGTTACTGCAGTATCACACCCCCAGCCATTCAGGAGTTTTCAAAATTTTTTTCTCCCATATGGTACAAACCCTTGATGGGAAGGGAAGAGAGAAGAATAGCAAAAGAATGCATATCGATTGACTGCGATTGTACGCGCAAACGAAACGATCGAACTGTATATTGCGATCGAACTGTATTTTAGACGCTTGCGACTTTCTCTTTCTACTATTATACCACTGTCATGGTAGACAGAGTCAGCTGCCAAAAACCTTACCCGAGCAGTTGGTGAGTCCCAGAGCACATTCGTTGACATCCCTTATATGCATGCATAGAGTATCGTCGCCAAGTCCAAGTTCGCGACGGTGCTCGCTTTTCCTGGAACCACGCGGATCATTCGCATCAGGAGAAGATGACTTCGACCAATAATTTGCTACCTGATATCAGTGAATCCTGGGTCACATCGGCACTCAGCCTGCTGCTCCATATTCTTGCAAGTGGTATTCGTAGGGCAGAAGTTCACATCACTACAGTAATCGAGAACACAGACGGATCCTGAAACGAGGGAGTGAGGAGCCGGATTGGAAGGGAGGCTGGGGAAGAAACAGGACCTGGGACAGCTCCCGGTGGAGCAGCGTCCGAATAAGACGGCAGACATTCGCACTTATACAGGTGTTCGAGATCAATGCAACGAGCATTTTCCGAGCACTCGTTGTCCTCCTAAGCATGTTCCGTAATAAATACTGATGACGTTTATGAGAAATGGCTCGTTTCTCACCTTTTTCTCGCATTCGTTGAATCCGTAAATGGGGACACATTTCTTCCCAGGATCTGAGGGATCGAGATCTCGGAATCCGGCACCACATTCGCATCGATAAGTTCGTTCCGTCTCATCATAGCAGATTCCCTTGGGGTGACAATCATTCTAAAAGGATACAGGTTTAAAGGGCAGGACAGAATGGAGCCGCTAACAAACCTTGAAGCAAGCCTTGTAGGGATTTGGCTGGTACTCGTTCAGGTACAATCCACTGTCACCAACTTCGTAACCGTTTCGTTCAATTATGTAGCGGACCAAGTCATAATACACATCTGATGGTATACGAACAGCACCTGAAAGTAGCCTATTGCGAGAAGGAGGAGTAAGTCACAACCAAAAAAGACCACGTGAGACGCGCGCGGTTGCGACGCATGCTCAACGATGAATCGATAAGTGCAGCTCGCGTTTAAAAACGCTCAGACGTATTACAGCTCTGACAAGAAAAAAATATTCAGAAGATTCGCAATAGTTGCGACCAACCTTTTCTGAAGTGGACCGTAGTGTTGAAAAGCAGTCCACTTTCCCAGCTGGCATTCATCATCTGAAAAGGGAGCAGAGAAACTGTGGTCCAGAGTAAGTGTAGCACTGAAGTGTTGAGAACAAGTGCTTACCCGAGGGTTAATGATTTCATTCACATCAGCAGCGACAAATGCGTTGCGAAGGCTCGTGTGAGGGTAGCAGCCACCGATTCCACGCTCGTAATCCCGAACATACGACTGGAACGAGGGTAATCGAAATTGCACAGTTATAGTTCATTCAAGGAAAAGAAAACGGGGAGATCTGCAACGTTCTGAAGGACTCTAAGCTTAATAGTACGGCATATCTCGATAACGCCCATCACAAGCTGCTGTTAGGAGGGAGTAAGATCACAACAAGTTCAGGAGCTAAAGTGAAGCCAACTGAACGGATCAACGTCCCGGTCTACTCGGATGATGGTAGACCCGACCCTCCCTGATGTCGTTCCCTACAATTCTGACACTGGATTCACTCCATCCTATTGCCAGAGTAGAAGGTAGTGCAGTTCTTTTTACATGATCAGCCTGAATAATGTGAATCCCATATGTAAGGAAGTCAGTTAAGAAGCTCTCCTGATAATCATGACAAGTTCAACGCCCATCTAGTAACCAGTGGATTTCCGACCCTTCATGTATTACTGGCCTTTCATTTGAGGGCATACCTTGTAAATGGAATCCATGGGATTCGCAAACGAGTCATTATAGATGAGATTGTTGTGTTCCTTGCGTATGACTAGAAGTGGGACGTTCCACGATTCGACGGCACGACAGACGTCCGTTGGGCGGGCACGCCGCATTCCAACTGGACAACCACAGACTGAGCCAGCTATACAGATCTGAAAAAGAGCTCAGAAGTCACTGACTCAAGCCAAGCCAGCAGGATGAAGTTTTCTCAAAAAGCTGCTTCCAGTCATTCGACCCGTTGAAAGACGAGCTATGCAAAAGTTTGACCTGCGTCTACCCATCCGCTCGATTTCGATGCCCTTTTACTCACATGGTTCTAGTAACTGTCAGTGACAAAGAGAAGTTTCTGTGCTCAAAAAAGTGGAATTCTGACCCAAAACAAGTCGTAGGCATAAGAAGTCTAATATTCATGGACAGAAAGGCATATTACTACTCAGAAGGCAAAACAAAAAGAGTACCTCGCCAAGCTGAAGGTTGCAGTCTTTTCCTCCGCACTCGCCTAGCGGCTCTTCCTTTCGACATGGATTGAGTAACTCACTGTCGTCAGCGATCCGCAGTGAATGACCACCTAAAAATGCTCGTCAATTTGTGGAATCACGCCACTTTTACAATATTCTCGCATTGTAAAAGTGGCGTGATTCCACAAGTAATGAGGGGTACGATGATTGAGAAGTGCTCTTTGACTAGAAAGGGCTATTCATGTCCATCACACAGAATGCATCTAATAGAGTTATGAATTTTCGGTCTGATTCCATCCCTCGAGAATCGGCCATAGACTTCGATGGTTTATAAGTTCGTGTGAAAAATACCGCTCACTTGTAGGACGCTTCGGCCTGCCCACCAGGGTAAGTCCCCTACAAGAGATTCTTGACTCAATCCTAACCTTCGCCCATTTTTTCCATGGGTCTCATCTTTCCTGAAACAAATTTACAGAGTTTTCTAGCGCCTTTCAACTTAGAAGGGGTGACACGAACCGTCGTGAACTGTGCCTCTTTTTGGGAGGAACTCTAGGGTAAGGTGCAAGAATGGCAGAACGTGCTGGAGGAGAACCAGCGTCAACTAACTGTAAAGTACATCAAGTTTCTCAGATGGGAAGTGAGCCGCAGTGCCAGTCGTACAGGTGCCAGTAGCTACAAGGAATCCACGGAATAGTAGAAGTCTTCTTCATGTCAAGCGGTTTAGACGCTAGCGGGTACCAGGCTATAAAGGCTTGAATAAACGCGGCATTAAAGAGTGGAGGTAGTTCACGGGTATGCTCACTGATCGACAGTGCTCCAGCATGCAAGGAAATCTACAACGACCAACGATAAGGTCTTATAGCACAACAAGCGTAGCATTGGCAAAAATCATAAAAAGTAATTTCTATTAAATGATTATCCGTTGTATGGGCTCGTTGTTAGACGTGACTGAGTGGCCTCGGAGGCGAAGATGTCAGAGCGGTCTTGTAAATAGCTCCGTTCTGCTGTGAATGCGAAAACTGCCTCTAGAATGGTACGGGTATGTAAAGAAAGAGGCGCCGAGATAGCTGATAGGGAAAGCAATGGATTTCGACGCCAAGAAGGTTGACTACAAGGAGCTCCAATCGGAAGGATTTGATCAAGAAGAGCCTGGTCAGAACAGGGATACGGCAAAGGTTGTCTTCGGTACACCAGACAATGAAACGCTGCGGGTTAACGGAAGGGAGAAACAGCAAAGTACTGACAGCAGACCGCAGGGCTGAGCCAGGGGTCCATTTCGTAATTCCTACATAACATTCGTGAAGTGCTTGCTGTTTGGTTCCTATACTTACCAATGAGTCCGTTGGTGCGCTGTAACGATGCCATCATTTGCTTCCACAGCTCACATTTGTCAACCGGTTGTTGCTTTGATGGCGTTGTCTGCACATCGTACTTGAACAGAAGGCCATCTGGCCAAGAGCTGTAAATGAGTCTTAGAGGAAAGGATCTTGAAATCTCCATCTTAAAGTTTCACCTGTTGACAGTCTTTGGATGAGTAATGTAATCGACTTTTGTGTTGACGTATCGAGGAGCATATATTGTTCCACCGAAAGTTCTAGCCATGTCTTTCTGAATCAGCTATGTTTGTGTTCTGAAAAGCAAGTGGTTCAGGTCAATGCCTTACCTGGAACATATCCGTTATTTCCACATACGGTGGGCTTTTTGTGGATCCGTATTCGCTGGAGTAAAGCAGAGGACGAGAATCGCGACTGACAACTCGGATCTGCATCGGTGTTTCCTCTACTCGTTCACATCTACAATTGTAAAGGCATCTCTTTCAGATAAGACCGTTTCAATCAGTCCTGCTTACCGTCCAGTGGCTACAGATCTGCTCTCGCCTGGACGACATCCGCAGTAAGATCCGCTGATACACACTTCTCCCATGGCGACCTTACAAAACTCGCGACCGCAAGGGAGACCATCATTGAGAGGATGCGTTTGCACTGGCCTTTGCGTAATCTGCTCAACTTTGTGGTCAACCTAAAAAAACCATAGACACTTCTTTCATTGAACCTGGCCATCCCATGGATAGTGCATTGAAAGTTTCACCTGGAACTCGAGGCAAACCCTTCCTGGTTCCTGGGGATTCGGTGACTGATCGTAGTACCCTTCGCGGCAGCTGCAAATGTAGCCATCGTCCATGTCCTGGCATTCAGCGTTACGATCACAGTTGTTCAAATTGCTGTCGAGACATTCATTCAGACGACATACTCGACCAGGTTGACCTGTAGGGGCACCGTATTTTGAATGAAACTTTCTGGATATCGATCTTGGCCCTTGGTCAAACTAACCAGGAGGACTTTCGTCCCTATATGGTGGTTTGCATTTGCAATCATAGCCTCCTTCTCTATCAATACACATGGCGTTGCGATCACAATCGTTGAGGTTCGGCGAATCACATTCGTTGATGACTGAAACAAAGAAGTAGCGGGATACTGGGAACCCTTACAAACCCGTCAAAACTCACTGTATGAGCACTGAGTTCCTGGATGGGCAGGATCATTGTCGAAATATCCCTGCCTGCATCGGCACTCATATCCGTTCTCTTTGTCGATACATTCCGCAAACCGAGAGCACGTGTTGAGCGATGGATTCCTGCACTCGTTGATCTGCTTGGTGCCTGAAGAGGAAATTCGGCGTTCTGGAGCTAAGGAAATAGGATTTGCAGAACTTACAGAGACGGCCAGGGCGGTTGCGGTCTGGCGACTTGTCAATGGTGTTCACCGGGCAACGGCATGTGTAGCCCTCCCTCTTGTCTTCACAAATCGCTAGCGGATGGCAATCGTTTAGAGATCGGTCCAGACATTCATTTACCTGCAAAATCACAGAAATCACAGAGACGGCCAGGATGAACACTCAAGATAACATTTCCAAGGGTTTTTCGCCCATTCACGTTCATCTTCGAGAGATGAGCAATCATACAGGTACCAACTTGAGGCCCCACTCACTGACGGCAACTGACCATTTCCACGCAGATTCTGCCTGGTCGAGTATTTCGGTTTGGTGACTGGTCGATGTATCCGTCACGACACTGGCAGGTGTACTTCTCGGGACCCGACACCTCACTACATATAGCGGCAGTATGGCAGTCGTTCTGGCTGCAAAATGGTTTTGGATTTGGCTTTGGAGTAAACGTTGAACGAAAACTGGTCGTCCTACCTTTTATCGAGGCATACAGGCTCCGTGAGTATGCAAAGGCGTCCTGGTTTCTTCGGGTCGGGCGATTTATCAACGTATCCTTGAAGGCATTCGCAAGTATACGACTGCGCTCCAGTCGCTCTGCAAGAACCAGCTGCATGGCAATCGTTGAGGTTCGGATCTTGGCATGGATGGCCTGGAATTGCGCTTATAAACTGTTGGTTGTTCACAAAACACAAGAACTGAAAAAACGAACGAGGTGGAGGCGTTGGTGGCGGCGGCGGTTCACAGACTCGTCCACGTAAAGCTGGATCGGGCGATCGGTCAATGTACCCTCGAACGCATTCACAACGATATCCCCTGGCTTCATCATAGCATATGGCATTTCGGGAACACGTATTCAGCTTGGGATCACGGCATGCGTTGTCTGGAATTTTCAGGATTTGGCGTCAACCAGCAAATATTTAGCAAGTGAGATGATTCTTCAAAATGGTAACTCATACGGTGCTTAGGGTCGGATGCGCTCAAGTGAGAATAGAAAAGATGGAAAAAGCGGTTCACACTTTCCTGCGCACTTCTTGGATTACCGAAGAGGGCTGGAACCACTGAAGCAACTTATCCTCCTGATTATAATGAATACCATTTATATTCACCACGTTTTTGAGTTAAGGAAGGTCCACAGCGTGTCAGGCCTTTTACCCTAAGGCGGACCTATGCCAAGCAAACGCGAATCACATAGCTCGTGTATGGGGATCGTAATCTTTCAGAACTTCATTAACGAATTGCTTTCATCGAGCAAATGGCTGTGTGGCTGGAAGGTTAGGGCGGCTATCTTGTGGATAATTACCCTAAAGCTATTACTCTCCCAACCTAGAACACTTATTTTCACTTACGAGGGGTTGAAGTCGAGAGATATACTGAAACTCGGAAACAGAAGGAGGTGAGCCGCAGATAGTTAATCTGGTTCAGGACGAGGGGCTCACCATCATCACCCAATTTTGAGTCTGTGCTTACCCCATTCGTGTTTCCACCATATTCCCTTACTACTAATCAGACCCGAGAACATCATTTGAAAAGTGTGAAAGCTTATTAGTCTCTAGTTATTGGAAGGCCATCACGATCCAATTCAAAAGAACGTATCGCCAGGTGCTCATTAATGTCTAGTGATTGACATCGTTGATTGCAAGTAGAAGGACCGTCGAGAACCGTCCTGCAGCGTTCTCGACTCGTAGTGACTATGCGTGTTAGTAAGCAAGTTATCTTTTCAAAGAAAAAGTCCTCTATTGCCTTTTTGGCTTTGCTGGATGCCTATGGGCCATCACTGACGTTTCGATCTTCGATTGCTTTATTGTTTGTAAGGATCGAGTAATTTATGTAAAACACGAAAGGCTTTTTGACAAAGTGGACACTCCAGGCTATCGGATCTGCTTAAGCATTCCACACCCGGGTTGAATTTTCGGAATCAATGCACTGGTTCTTCTATGTGTCAATGGGAATCTGCCGTAGTGAGTCCTACCTAGCAATTTTGGATACGGGCAGATGAATACTAGATAAATGCCCCAAAAAGCCACTCCGAATAGCACTCCAGCTCCTGATTCATACCTGTTGCGGGGAGAAATATAGAGGACTCACTTCTCACGCAGATTCGTCCCTTTTGCCCATTCGGGGATTGATCAACGTAGCCCTGAATGCAGGAGCACTGGTACTTGTTACCACCCAGTGGCTCACAGACGGCTGCTGAGCTACAGTCATGGTTCGGTGGACATACTTCTGAAACCACTTCCGTTGGACATATTTTGGCAGTTCCAANGAGTATTTGAAGGAAATATTCGAGGAATTGGGCAGATGATATTCGATGACCTGGCAGAAAGCGTCACTGTGACAGTCATGCTNAATACTAGATAAATGCCCCAAAAAGCCACTCCGAATAGCACTCCAGCTCCTGATTAGCTGTTGCGGGGAGAAATATAGAGGACTCACTTCTCACGCAGATTCGTCCCTTTTGCCCATTCGGGGATTGATCAACGTAGCCCTGAATGCAGGAGCACTGGTACTTGTTACCACCCAGTGGCTCACAGACGGCTGCTGAGCTACAGTCATGGTTCGGAGGACATACTTCTGAAACCACTTCCGTTGGACATATTTTGGCAGTTCCAAGGAAATCACCAATGACAAACCTGGAGCACTGCAAACTCGTCCCGGTTGACTGGCCAGATTGGGTGAGCGATCAACGTATCCCTCACGACACTCACATGTGTACCCTTCTTCCAGATCACGACAATCTGCTTGAGCACTACAGGTATGCCGTCCGGTTGAGCACTCGTCCACCTTAATGGGATAGCTAACGTTTCGTGGTCCCGAATAAAACACTTATGCACTCACCAGTTTAACACAAACTCGTCCTGGGCGATGCATTTTATTGGGAGATCTGTCAACGAAGCCGGCAGGACATTCGCAGGAGAACGACTGCTCGTTGTCGTGGCAAATGGCCGACGGATCGCAGTCGTGCTTGCCAGTCTCGCATTCGTTCTCAACTGAAATTCCCCTTTGAAGAGTCTAACTGCTTGGCCGATGAGACCTTTAACAACTTACAGAGCAGGCAGACGCGACCAGGGAAAGCGGGACTTGGTGAAATATCTTTGGAATTGGGCGGACACTCGCATTCGTACGAGTCCATGGTGTCTCGGCACTTTGCGTTCCGGTCACAGTCGTTCAGTTTTGGATCGCGGCATTCGTTCACCACTGAAATCGGATGTCCGGAGATCGTCCAATTTGGTATCAACGACGGGAAAGTGAGAAACACTCACATCGCCTACAGCTCCTTCCCTTGAACTGTGGTGAAGGCGACACATCCAGGAATCCTTCACGACATTCGCAACGATAACCCTCCTCTTCGTCGATACATCTGCAAGAAAGTTTTGCGTTCTGGGTTTCAGGGCGCAATGAGGGGCTTCTTACCTGGCATTTCTGTCGCAGCTATTCATGCCGGGTACAGAACACTCGTCAATGAGCTGCTTGCAAATTCGGCCCGGTCGTCCATGAGAGCGATCCATGAAGCCATGATTACATCTGGAATTCCATGTAACGTAAGTTATTTGTTGGCTGTTAACTTTTCTTTATCACGAGGGGTTTGCACCTTTGGTTCGAATTGGTGCGCATGCGATAAAGCTTCCTAACGGTAAGGAGAATGAGTCGAGGAACTGTGACTAGAGGTGGAAAGGTGAGCTCATAGATTGGGAATTGACTCGTTAACTTGTCTTTTGGGTGATATATCAGCAATAAAGTAAGCCGTGTACTCAAAAGACTGCCACTTTCGATCATCATAGTTGCCAGCAGTCGTATATCAACGGGATGCTTAAAGATACAACTCCCGACAAAAATGGTTTCTGAGATAACCTCCCTACCTAGAATGAGCTATGGCTGCCAAGGTCAGCACACGGGACACTGTTGAATCGGAAAACAATCTGGACCGGTCTAAAACCGGCTTGGTTGATATACACAGAAGTGGCTGTGTTATGATGGGCCTTGTCAAAGCTGCACCATTCGCTATGAGACACATAGGCTGCTTTCAGACCTCAGCGATTCACCCGACCGTTTGTCCGTCCGACGCGTGCGTGCTGCGACGGCGGCCCCTGACCGTTGTTGACAACGCTAGATCAAGTGCCAGCGCTGTCAACACTACTCTAGCGACGGACGGGTGGTCGTCGAAGTCTGAAAGCGGCCATATGTTGGAAGTCCATACGACTAGTCATGACCCATAGCGACAGAGGGGAATGATTTTTGGCATTTTCGGCTAGCTCTACGCCAATAGCACACAAATGACAGCCCGTTCAAAACCCTTCCATGCCGATTTTGCCGTCACAATCTCGTGCAACCTCTTCTTTACTACTTTTTTAATTTTTTTTTTCGAAAGCCGCTGATTTTTGCTTTTTCTTCGCTTCTTGCTGCCTTTGCTTCATTCTACACCATAAAACACTGTTCCAGTTAGACTAGGTTTCTCTAAAGTGCTGTAAACTAATATGTCTTAAAAGAACAGCAAATGGTATGGTCCGGTGACCTTTTCGGTCTTTGAAGCGAGATACCGTCGTCCGTCGCCGTGCTATACACTTGTAATGGCTGTGGACATCTTTCCCTAACCATGTTAAACAAATGCTCTGATCGGTGGAATAGGTAGCCTTGAACGTGATCCGTCTGCATGGTTGATATATAGCAACCCCTTGTGAGCGGGCCTATATACGCCCTATCAAACTAGGAGGAAACGCTCGCGTAACTCTGAAGGCCAGCACGCTCTGCAGCGAAAATCTATCTGTTATACAGTTTAGTAAGAATCTAATCTGGGAAAGAGACTTGTTTGTCTTTTGTCAGCTCGTAAAGGCCTGTACTTACTTGCACTCGTATCCTTCCTCCAGGTCGATACATTGGGCATGCTGGTGGCAATCGTTCAGGTGAGGGAATTGACACTCGTTCACCACTGAATATAACCGACTCATTCGAGATTCTCCAACACCTTCACAAAGGTAGACTCACATGGTTTGCACATACGGCCGGGTTTTTCTCCGATATCCTTGAACCCTGGCCGACAGGCGCAGGTGAATCCGACCAGTTGATCGATGCAATCAGCGGAAGGGTGACAGTCTACTAGTTGAGGGAAGTCGCACTCATTAATCACTGAAATGAACGCTGGCAGTTTTCACTCGGATGAGAGATGTAATGAAACAGCTAACCTGAACATGAGCCGGATGAGTCCCTTTGGTAGTTGATGGGGCAGGCACATTTTGGTTCCCCGTTTACCAAGCGGCACACTTCGTTCAAATGTGCCTTACACTGATTAGGACCATCAATCCGACACTCAGGCGGTGGTGGAGTTGGGCGTGGCACGCACATTCGACCTGGATGGGTGGCTCGATTGGGAGACTGGTCCAAAAATTCAGGTTTACACCTGCATGTATAGCCCTGAGGCAAGTCCTAAAAAGAGTATTTGAAGGAAATATTCGAGGAATTGGGCAGATGGATGACCTGGCAGAAAGCGTCACTGTGACAGTCATGCTTGCCCAACCGACATTCATCGACGAGCGCTGGGCGACAGATTCGTCCAGGCCGATGCACGACGTCCGGCGATTCATCGACGAAATCATCGCGACATCGACACTTGTAGGACTCTGGGGTGTCCATGCAGTCGGCATTTGGGGAGCAGTCATGACGTCCGGAAGTGCACTCGTTGATTCCTGCAAGGAGTGACCTAGGCGTGATTAAGCGTTCGACAAAGAGCTTCCAACTTACGAAGCAGACATTTCCGCCCTGGGCGATTAATGGGATCCGCTGAGAGGTCGATATGAGTGGGAGGGCAAGCGCACATGTAGCTATCCTCTGTATCAGTACATATCGCTTCCCTCGAACAGTCGTTCTGTCCTGTTGCGCATTCATCCACAACTGAAACATTCACATTTAGATCTCTATAGAAACAAACCGAAAGGAATGAACTTACGTCGTTTACACTTCCTTCCCGGTCTGTTCACTCTGTCGAATGAAACGTCCAGGTAGTTAATAGCACAGCGACAGAGGAACGAGTCCGGTGTATCCTCACAGATGCCACCGTCACGAGCGCAGTCGTCTGTTCCCAAGGCACACTCGTTCTGCACTGAAATCAAAAGGTGTCAAGAAAAGCTGAGGAACCGAAAGGAACGAAATGAAACGTACAGGGCTTGCAGAGTCTTCCTGGCTTCGAAGCGATATTCGGCGAAATGTCGAGGAAACCTTGACGACACCTGAAAGAGATGTAGGTACACTACACTATCTAACAAAGCCCATCGCGACTGGCTGGGCTACATATGGTCTTCGTTCGGGGAAATGCCATTAAAATGGCTTTGCGAGACCAGGTTCGATTAGGATTTCGAAAGTGGCCTCGCAAAGCTTTTTTGGAGATCTGCTGCTTATATTTTCGTAGACAAAGATGAGAGATTACTGTAGCTAGTGCTCATGCTTACCTGCACATGTAGCCGTCATCGGTATCGGTGCAAATGGCCCTGTCCGGTGAGTCGCAGTCATTCAGTGTCGGGTTGTCACACTCCGGAATAACAGGAATACACACTCGCCCCGGACGGGATGGCGACGGAGACTTGTCTTTGAAGCCCGCAGGACAGGAGCAGGTGTAATCATCGTCGCCTAGACAAGAGGATGTTCACGAAGATTCTTCAAGGGGCCACGGTTCTTCACTTACCTATTTGTGTGCAGCGAGCGTTCCGATCGCAGTCGTTCTTGCCGACGGAGCAACGATCGTTGGTCTTTTCTGAAAAAAAGAAATTTCCGGTGTATTCGGTTTCAACGTCTAGAATATTCACCTTTACGACAGCGCCGTCCCGGATTTCTGAACTCGTCCATATCGACAAATCCGGGCCGACAGATGCATGTGTACGCCTCGACGGTGTCAACGCAGATAGCGTTCTCGTCACAGTCATTCAAGCGTTTTGACGAGCACTCATTTACTAACTCCTTGCACACAAGGCCAGGGAAGCTGAAAACATTCTCAAAGCGGACGGAGCGGAAATCGAACGTGATAGATACCTTTGAGCATTAGGTGAATAATCGACGAATCCTGGTTTGCAGCGGCAGACGTAGCCCGATTCTGTATCAGTACAGATGGCGTTAGGGGAGCATCTGAAACCAATCAAATCAAATCAAAAACGTGGTCCCGAGTCAAAACGAAAAGGTTTGGGGGGTTTCTGATCTTCTCGAGACAAATTTGACATAGAAACTGACAGAAAGCTTTCATTTCCAACTGTTTTCTGATAAACATTTTCTTTGTTGATAAAAGTCAACAGCCGATATCAACAACGATCTGGCTGTGCAAAGAAGGAAGGGGTGGTTAACTGGCTCCAAGCTTGGGAGGCTGTCAGGCCCTCCACAGCAGCACCATGACGTCTGCGAAGACACCTTTCTCTTTGTTCCTTTCACTGGCTACCTTTTATGGGCTGGGTGTTGTTGTAAAAGCTCGTCTATGAAAGTTAGGATAGTCGGGTGGTTTGGGCAGGCTTCATAAGGAAGTAGTGTGTTTATGACGGACTGGTGATAAAAAAGAATTCAGAAGTTAAAAATAAAGTTGAAGAGGAAACTTGTGATCTCAAATTATTAAAAATCACTTGTTGGTACCGTCGAGACATTCATTTTGTTCAGCAACACATAGCCGTCCCGGTTTGGAAATCGGATCCGGTGACCGGTCGATGAATCCTGCTGGGCAGGCGCAAAGAAAGCCGTCGTCGGTATCGATGCAACGAGCAGAACGATCGCAGTCATGCAATCCCAGCTCGCACTCGTTTTTCACTAAAAAGGAACGACGTTTTGCCAAGTGGTCTGACTTCCTGTAGCTTCTTAGACGTTCCCTCAACTCACGGCAGATTCCTGTGACAGGATGTCTTCTATCTTTCCCTTCGCACTGGCACGTGTAGAATGAGCCATGTGGGAGACATTTTTCCCGTTTTCGGATATCACAAGAATTTGGTACATTTGGAAGGCATGAACCTGGAAGTGCAGCTGTTCGAATCGCAATAAAGTAGCTATTAAATGCGNCGAGCAGAACGATCGCAGTCATGCAATCCCAGTTCGCACTCGTTTTTCACTGAAAGGAACGGGGTTTTGCCAATAGGACTGACTTCCTAGAGCTTCTTAGACGTTCCCTCAACTCACGGCAGATTCCTGTGACAGGATGTCTTCTATCTTTCCCCTCGCACTGGCACGTGTAGAATGAGCCATGTGGGAGGCATTTTTCCCGTTTTCGGATATCACAAGAATTTGGTACACTTGGAAGGCATGAACCTGGAAGTGCAGCTGTTCGAAACGTAATAAAGTAGCTTTCGGATGTGGGACAACAAACCTGGGTAGCTGCATTTCCCGTCGGCGTGACTGCGTTCGAACCCGGTCTTGCATTCGCAGTACCAGTGTCCCGTACTATCACTGGTGCAGTACTCGTTCTGACCACATCGTTGGCCGCCATTGTGACAGTCGGCATCGTGTTGAGGGAAAACGCGGATTTCTTTCACGGAAACTGAAGCATTCGTGCGTATTAAATCCGAGGAAACCAGAGATTTGAAGGCACAGTTCACGATAATTTTGAGGTGCCCTTCAAGGGTTGAAAGCGGAAGTGTTGATGTAGAGAAGTACATCGGTAGCGAAGGAAGCTAGAAAATCCGCTTTTTTCGAGTCTTATCAAAAGTAGTGGGAGTGGAGGCTGTACGAGATCACCGTGACGGGAATGGCATGTAAGGGGTTTTTGGACGAGATTTAATTTGCTCCCTTGCGCAAAGATATGACTTCATCTAGCCAAAATTGTCCGAAACTGCCTTTCGCTGTCGCCATGTATTATGGTAAGTTGTTTGAACTTCCNACATGGGAGTCTCTTGAGATAGTGCAGCCTCTACGGAGCCGTTGAAACTCGTCTAATATGGGTGTGGCATTCACGCGATGCAATCTCTGGCCCCTTATTGTGCCCTATCCAAACGTTTTTCGACCTTAAAACGGCAGGTATGGTATAACGGTAAGCCTCAAACTCATACTATAGGGAAATCTTAGAAACCATTTTTATCGTGAACTGTGCCTTAAGTCGGCAAGTGTATATACCGCAAAATCCGGTCCTAAAGTCCCTGGAGTATCCATCTGGGCAGGCGCAGCGGTAGTTGTTATAGGGAGTAATGAGACATTCCTCTGGATAGATACATGACGTGATTAGTTGCGGATTGCACAGCGATCCTCCACAGACCCGAGTGGTCGGATGACGATGGAAGCCGGCTGGGCATATGCAACGACTTCTGCAAACAGTCTTTGAAGCCCTGAAAAGGCTTAGCGAAAAAGCGGACCTACCGTCCATTCTCCTCAGCGCAGTACTCGTTGAGTGAACGATCACATCCGGTCTGCGTTCGGGGGTTGCACGTGCCCTGAGGTGGAGACGCGGTTTTCACCGGGGTGGGGCATGCTGCCTTTTGAATCATCGAACGAAGACGTGTATCCAGGTCCTGGAGAAGCAAAAATAAGTAAAAAACAACAACAGCCTTAAGAATGACATCCCATCAACCGGCAGGATGACTGCTGGACGGAATAATGGACCATCTTCCTACTCTCTCAACCTTCGAGGAAGGAAGATATATGGAGAAGAGAAACAAATCCCACAGCGCTCACCTTGAACTTGTCGACGTAGAACCATCGAGTAGGTGATCCCGCAATGGCTTCAAGCTCACTGGCCAGTACGTGATCGGTGACACCGATGGAGAACGTGTTGATGTTCAACTTCCTAGCCGACTCAGCAGGTCCAGTCACATTGTCTTGAGAACGACCGTCAGTGAGAACAATCGCTACCCTTAACAACGAAAGCGATCAGCACACATCCCACTGAGAGAAACTGCTGGAACGTACCTGGCGATGTCAGGAGTTTGAGGTCGGGCACCTCGTCTCTCACTGAACCCTTCCTGAACCATATGTTGAATTGCGGCACCAGTGCGAGTCAGTCCAGTAAGGTACTGAGTATCAGTGATTGCTCGAAGAACGGCAGCCTAGAAAGGAAGCGTTCCCAGGCTTGCCTTATGAAGAGCCAGCCGAACGTTATCCGAAAACTCTTGAAATATCCCTATGAATTTTCAGTGAAAGTGAATCTAGGGAGTGAAAGGAAAAATAGGGGTTGGACTGGGATTTCAAAAAGCTCCCATTTCCTCACGTTGTACCGTTACTCCTCTCTTTGTGACCACGCTCCCACTTGACACCGATGATTACCGTTGGAGGAACACCCGAATTACTTCCGCTCGCTTCAATTTTTCTCGAGTGTTTCCCTGCATAACAACCCCTAGACTATCCTCTTGTGGGTGTACACCCACTCCTTTTCTGGTGCTCGCTACCCTTCAAAAGTAAAAGGCTCTCGAGAAAAATTTCGTTTGTCTCTTAAAGATTCACTGGTTTCAATTCGTTACAATTACTTTCCAAAAAACCTTTTGGTTAAGATTTCGTGAGCGGTTACTACCTTGTCAGTGTACTGATCCAAATCGAATTCATGACGGATCTGATCCGAGTACTGGATCAGTGCGACTCTAGTCTGATCCAAACCGATTTCGAAAAGTTCAACGAATTCTCGGACAAATCGAAGCACCTAAAAAGTGGCATTTCACTTTGAGGGTGATTGTTTGGTGAAATTCAGATGAATTACAAAAACTGACTTCATTTTTGAACACATAGGATCCAATAGATCCGGATCCATCGATGAGGAACACCAAATCGGTTTTCTGTTTCGGACAAGTCGTCTGTACTGTGCAGACTCGTCCAGGAGGTAGATTAGCATTAGACGAAACGTCAACGAAACCGGCAAAGCACTGCAACAATGGCAAAGGTGATTGAAAAACAAATTTCAGCAAAGAGAAAAATGTGGGTGAGTGAAGGACATGAGGTTATTCCCCGATTGGGAGGACGGCAATCCAGAAGTGGGTAGGCATGGGGTCGCAGTCGCTTCATTACTCTGCGATCTCGCTGTGGAATAGGGAGGATGCATAAAACCATTGAGGGATGGCTCTTTGGCATTTGCACGGAATGAATTGTAAGAGGTCACTTTATAAAATTATTGCCCTTACTGTTTCCTGTCCCTACCTGGGACGATCACTGGAGTTCCATTCAAGTCATGCAATTAGTGCAGTTTGATTATGTGTGGTAAATTCTGTGGCTGAGATTGTTTTCTTGAAAAACAATAGGCGAAACCTGATATTGATCATACTGTCAGGACGCGCCTCGCATTAAATTTCCTTCCAGATCTGTGAAACATTCGGATGTGTCGTTTTTGACGTGGCGGTCGGCTTTGAAGGGAGCTATGGAAGTAGCCGGAATCCTGATCATCGCTCATACCTTATTCGCCCACTCAAGTCAGACCAGCGCAGTGGTTCGATCCCGAAAGGATGATGGTATAGAGCACGATGCTCAGCTCTGACAAACTCAAATACTAAAGCATTTAAAAAGAGTATCCTATATTTAACTCTATTCAAATGTCAAGTTTTGGTACAGTCATTATGCCATGAAGTAGCTGCCAGTTTCAGGAAATATCTACCAGGTCACTTCTGAGGGGGGATCTTACTGTCATCCGACTGTTCAAGCTCTCTTACCTGGCAGGTGTAACCATCCTGGGTGTCAACGCAATCAGCGTTCTCGTCGCAAGTGTTGAGATGCTTGAAAGCGCATTCGTTGTTCGCTGAAATATTTGCGAGAATCAAGAAACACCCTCGAAATGAACACCAATGAAGAACAACTGGAAATGGTTATTCACTAGGAGAGGATGAGCTGAGCTTGGCACTCCCAGAAGTAATCTCCGCATATCAGAATGGCTGCGAACTCACATTGAGAACATCTCCGACCGGGAGGAAGCTTGTGCTTGGAGGAAACGTCCACGTAGCCCTCGAGACACTGGCAGGTATAGCCTTCAGTGAGATCGATACATTTGGCATAAGGCGAGCACTCGTTGTTAGAAGTGGCACATTCGTTCACCACTGGAATCAGGAGAGGTATGAATGCAGGTGGAAACTAGCCGATCTAATCACTTACGCTCTTTGCAACGTCTTCCTGGTCGTCGTTCGGGATCCGGGGACATGTCGATGTAGCCCGGACGACATTGGCAACTGTACGAGTCGATCGGTGTTTCGTGAGCAGGCCGAGAACACTGAAATCGAGCACTACCACAATCGGAAAAAGGTGAAAAAAGTCTGTCCTCCATGTCGGCAATTAGTCATTACACCTTTACGCTCCACTGAACCCCTCATTCCATCGTGATCACCTTTGAAAGTGATTTGCGATACGAAAAATTGCTCGAAAATGAGCTAATCCCAGCAAGTTTCCCTTTCTACAGACCAAATATTTTCTTCAATTGTTTAACCTTTGAATGAGAATCAAATGCATGGCGAATCCCAGAGAAACTGACTCAAGTCGAATGTTTTTGTTATTATTACAGTAATGTACAAGTTCTACAGTCAATTAAGGGAATTCATCATCACCACCACCCCGTTCGAATCGAACGAGAGCGCGTTGTTGACCCAATTTTTTGTAGTCGATCAAGGTCTGCACTAATTTTACCGCTGCGGTTGATTTACTTGCCTTCATAATTGTGTTTACATTAAGTTGAGTTATATTCGAAGTAGAGGTAGGTGTAGTGACAAGTAGCGCACTTCACATACGCATGGCTACCGGTTCAAATCCCGGACCGATATCCACATTGGCCAACCAAGCCTTTCATCCGTCCAGGGTCGGCTACTTGGTATCAAACCCGTCTGGGAGGATGAAAGCACTGACTTGTCATCGGCTGGCCACTCCAAGTCATTGTGTAGGCCACATACCCGTGCAAACCGCCACTACGATTCTGTACGGCAGTCGAATGCGTTGGCGCACTCCCCAGACGGGATGGATTAATGTCCTTAGACTTCAGACTTTAGGGTCAAGGGTCAACGGGTGTGTGTGTTACTCCTATGCTTCCACACTTCTCATCATTTTGAAACGACAAACATCAGAATCACGGAGGATCGCGCACGATTCAGATATACAAGATCGATGGCAATTGTTAAGGGCTAAGGATGAAGTGATGAAAGCAGAACGGTGCGTTTAGCATGTGCCACGAATTCCAGTTTCATTTGGAATGGTAAAGGCTTTGTAAGGGACAAACGCGAAACCCACTAGTTGGTACTGAAAATCGGAGTGGGAAAATTGGTTCGTGCGGGATCCGATCTCGAAGGGCACATTAGATGAAGTAACACTTCTCGTCCCAAAGAGTGTCATTGCGCCCATTCCCAAACTCAATAAGCTTCAAAGACAGTCCACAACAGAAATAGTTTTTGAGATTCAACTTAGGGGCGATTCTCTGACCCCCAAGGATGGTGCATGGGTTGTCGGGTTGGAAGACGATATAAGGGCTCAGATACTGTCTCCGATGTATATCACACTCAAAAGTGGTCGAGCTTTAACGGCTTTGTGAAGGCAGCATGATTCTCTATCAAAGTTTTTATGTTGAGAATTCACACAGCTGATCGTTCTGGCCTTGGCGCTAGTGGAAAACGCTAGAGTTTTCGGCATTTTTTACTTAATGTGACCAGTCTCCAAGCAATTGCACATGACTGAATTCTCGTCCAAATTCGCTTTCCATTCCACTTCCGTCGCCACGGTCTCGTACAATCCTCCCCTCTCCCCATCCCCTCCTCCCCCACCTTGACTAATTTCAAAAACCCTTGTATTTCGCAAATACTGCGAATTTCCGTGCCTCTGCCTTATTCCCGTTACTCAATGTGGAAAAGGTCCCTAAAGGTTTGTGCGGAAGCGATCTGGAGAATCGATATGCCCTTAATAGGTAAATTCCAAAGAATTTTTACCATTTTGGTAGGTGGTCTACAATAAGTGATGTAAATATTTTGACAGGATGGCTGTAGATAAGCGAATGGGGACAATCCCTCCCGACACAGTTTTTTATGTGGGTGCTTATCGATAAAGAGACGTCCATCCAAAGTTCCGTCACAGTCGCGGTCTCGAACAATCATCAAAACAGGTCAGACATCGCCGCCCTTCACACACTGAGAGTGCGATTACTTGTCTGACTCATGGCCGTACGGCGCTATCGCTCTTCGTGGTCACTTCCCTACCCATCGTTGATTAAGTGAGTGGTCGGTTGGGGATAGCCAATCAGATACGCAACCCACCCCGAGCGAAGTGAACGCTCTCCGTTAGTGGGGCACTATCACGCCTATGTAAGATGTCCAACCGAAGAATACCACGGGGTCGTCCTGTTTGACCTTAATCCCTCCAAGGAAAGGGCTGAACCGTAGCCTAGGTTTCTCTCACCCTGACGCTCCTTAGGATAAGTTACACGCTTGCCCCTTGGTCCTTCTGAAAAGAGTCGGTCAAGGCAGTATTCATATCACTGAAATCACTAACATCAGCATTGTATGGGGACCTATTCTCACACAATTCATAGGACTTAGAACCTTCCCCCTTTGCTAAAATCATTCCCTGATGAGGCTGGACTAGTACACTGGTCATGGACGATTAATTGATATGAAACTCGTTTCGCGGATGAATCCCGATTTGGGCGTCCCATGACACTACAAAGTCAACACTCCACCTTAAAACATTCGATAGCTTTTACGACATCTTTTGTCAGCAAAACGGGTTCAGGGAGATATTGATGGATTTGGCTAACTTACAGTGTAACTAAAAGTAAAATTCACTCAGAAAAAGTTACGAGTAGCCCTTGGGGACCTGAAGAATTTCACCGTCCCTCAAACCCATACTTTAGCTCGGTTTTAATCAAATAAACCACCACGAAAACCTCTTTCGGGAAACCACCCACCTCGACAGGTTCCATCTTCGTAGCGGAATGCATTGTCCGCACATTGACAGGAGTGATGGCCTCGTTGGCCTCGATCGGTGCAGATTTCATTTGTGCCACATCGCGGCTTCTGTACACAAAATGCACTATGCATGGGGAATGCTTCGTATAGGAGAAGACCCCGTAACCACACGGGAAAACTACCTTCGGATCACAGGAATCATGCGAGAAGGAACTTGTGAATTCGGTCACCGTCAACCTCTCGATGGGTTTGCGGCAAACCCGTCCCGGATAGTGCGTTGCGTTTGGTGACGCATCAACGTAGCCGTTACGACATGAGCAGACATAGCCCTCCTGGAAAGCCATCATTGACACGAAACGCAATAAATGACCTTTCAAACCCTGACAATGCTGACCTTGGCGTCTTCACAAAGCGCGAATTCGGAGCAATCGTTGAGACCTTTGATGGAGCACTCATTAACTGCCTCGATACAGCGTCGACCTGAAATCGCCCGAGTGATACTGTATTTTCGGCATGGTTCTCCGTTGAACTTACCCGGCAGTTTGTTGAATGCGGCCGAGATGTCTGCGAATCCTGGACGGCACTGGCATGTGAACGAGTCGTCGGTATCGACGCAGATTGCGTTCTCATCACAATCAACACGATACTTTTCCCTGAAAGAAACCATGAATTGGGGAGTCGGCCAGCATCCAACGGACAACTCGTACTTATTAGAGCATTCGTTGACGCGCGCTTTGCATTGTCGACCAGGTTGTCCCGGTGGGGAAACGTCGGCGAATCCTGATCTACACTGGCAGGTGTAACCCTCTGCCTGAAAATGTCCGTAGTGATATCTAAGCAACTATGAAGGGGGCTGAAGGATCCACCTACCAGATCGATGCATTCCGCGTTCTGACCACAAGTGTTCAAACGTTGATGCTCACATTCGTTAATGGCCAAACATCGCCCATCGGGTAATCGAGAGTACCCGGAAGCACAACGGCATTTGTAGGTTCCATCCACGAACACACAAACATGAAATTAAGTAGATTTAGATGAAACATCCAGAGGAATATGGATGTTCTTCATAGGTTCTTATATGAGCTGGATAGCCTTCGGTATGCCAACTATTCTGAGTGGAGGTTTAAAGGCACAGTTCACGATAATTTCGAGGTACCCCCTTTTTAGGTTGAAAAGTGGAAGTGTTGATGGAGAGGAGTACATCGATGGCGAAGAAAGCGAAGAATCCGCGTACTTCAAGGCTTTTCAAAAGCAGTGGTAGTGGAGGTTGTACGAGATAACCGTGATGGTGGTGGCATGTCAGGGGTGTTCGGACGAGATTTAACTTGCTCCAGTCACTCAAAGAGATGACTATATCAAGCCGAAATTGTCCGGAACTGCCTTACACTGTCGCCGTGGGCTATGACAAATTGTTAACTTCCTACATGAGAGTCTCTTGAGATAGTGCGGCCTCTGCAAAACCGTTGGAACTCGTCCAAGATGGGTGTGGCTTCAAACAATACAATCTCTGGCCCCTTATTGTGCCCTATCGATGCGTTTTTCGACCTTATGAAGGCAGGTATGGTATAAGGGAAAGAATTTATACTATTGGGGAAACCCAAAAACCATTTTTATCGTGAACTGTGCCTTTAACAATAAACCGTAGTCGGCCTCAAAAAGGTCGGTCAACATCAAACGTTTCACATCATTGGAATGATTCCACGGCCAAAAAACATCTGATCCCAATGAGTTTTTGAGTGAGTGAATGCCACTGACCTCAGATTTTCGCTGATCGCAACTCATCGGATCGCTTACTTCACACTCTGGTGGATCTGGCACAAAAGCTGCAACCAAGGGATGAACTGACTGCCTAAGGGTGTATCTTCAGAAAGGAATCAAGCTGACCACTCACCTCTGATACAGACCCTGCCTGGCTGAGTTGACGGCGAAGGGCTTTCATCACGATAATTGTCATGACATCGGCAGGTGAAGCCGTCAGCGGTGTCGATGCAGGCAGCATGGCGTGAACAGTCATGCTTCCCTTCAGCGCATTCGTTAACGACCGCTCGACATATTCTACCGGCAGGTCGCCCATGCTGTCGAGAGATGTCGACAAACCCGCTCATGCATTGGCACATTGGTCCCATGGGTGTCTCTCGACATTCCGCCTCGGGAGCACAGTCCATGTTCATACATACGTCAGCTACAACATAATTTCTTCAAAAGTTACCAGAACCTGACCAGAAACAGAACTGAAAGAGAGAATGGTACCTTGAACAATTAGGATCAATATATTTTTGTTGCCTGTAGGACCACTTCCCAATAGCTAGGCAAACAAGAACATTCTCTTGAGATAGGCTGCATACTACTTATGTTT